TTTTCGTCCTGTTTAGTTTTCGGTTTCTCGATTACGGATTTCTTTGGAGAAGGGTAAGAAAATAAGTCCGCATGACAAACTGGGAGAACAAATATATTTAATGAAACATTAAGTCCAAATCTGTATTCCTCATTTACAAGAATCACTTCATACTGTTTAATTTCTTACGGATGATGACAATTATATAGGAAAAGTAATCTCTGCATTGTTTTAGTTACGTTCTAAGGGTGCAGTTAGAAATGTACTAATTGGTCCAGTCTCCTCTGATGTTACGACTGCAATCCTGCCTGTGAAGACCAGTCCCGCACCACACATCTCCAACACATCCTAATAACTTAATAATACAAATATAATCTGGTTATAGCCCGTAAGGCCTAGCGCTTTCTACAATCAAAGACGCTCTGCACTCTTACACATGTCTGCAATACACATGCTGCCCACTGCTCACTGTTTGTAAAAGTAAATAAATAGTATGTTCATTCTCAATAATGGAGCTACTTTCTATACCCCTGCTTCATAAACAATACTGAGCATCCTTGTGCTCCTCCAGTCTGCCGGGGTCCGGGATGTGAGGACAGCGTGAGGACACAGGGAGGCTGCTTCACTTCAATAAAAGGAAATGGCGGTCAATATTAACAACACAGGAGCTAAAACGCTTAATAACCTTCATTACGTGTTAGAGAAAGAACATAAGAAAGTTTGACAAAGATGAGGCTGTTAAACGGGCAGCGGAATCCGCTGTGTGTAGAAAGAGAGAGACGCTGAGCTGCACCATGCAGCGAACAGCTGATACGGAGCATAGAGAGAGAGCTGCGGTCCGCGGGGCTCCGCCTCCTGTCCTCACAACTCTTATTAATCCTGGGTCCGGACAATTGTTATTTGTTCCTACTCGGAACCGAGTTTTGCTTCCCAACCCTGCCACTGTGCTACACTCCCCGCCCCGCTCCGCTCCGCCCCGCCCCGTCTAACTGTACAGAAAGCGGCGAGATGCATTTCCTTAGGAATCGACCAGCAGAACCGAAACTAACATTTCTAAACGAACAATGGCGGACACGTACAATTTGCGAATGAGTTCTGCCTTTTGTAAACAGAATTTATCAATAATTTGTCAATAAATCAGGGCGAAAAACGTCACTTGTTTGCCGGACAAGTCAATTGAAAGATCTACTTGTCCGATATTGTAAATAACACGTCCCGGACGGTGGGACGTGTACTTTTTCGCACACTGCCTTATTTAACAAAACCTAAATTGTGCCGCTGTGTTTCCCCTACTACTACTACTTTCTAATTCTTGTCCTTTTATCTCCCCCCCTCAGTAACATCCCCAGTGTGGGCAGCACTATGGACCAGGACTACAGCCAGACCTACACCCCTCAGACGCACACGCCTTTCATGTCTAACAGTGCTCCACCAAGTAACAGTGGCACTGGCATCCTGCCTTCACCCACCACCCCTCGTTTCTCTGCCCCCACCCCACGAACGCCACGCACCCCACGAACACCTCGAGGCCCTGCCAGCGTCCAGGGCTCACTCAAGTACGAGAACTCAGACCTTTACTCCCCAGCGTCCACCCCCTCCACCTGCCGACCGCTGAACTCAGTAGAGCCAGCCACGGTGCCCTCCATCCCCGAGGCCCACAGCCTCTATGTCACCCTCATCCTCTCCGAGTCTGTCATGAGCCTCTTCAAGGACTGCAACTTCGACAGCTGCTGCATCTGTGTGTGTAACATGAACATAAAAGGAGCCGACGTGGGCGTGTACCTCAGCGACCCCATCGGCGAGGCTCAGGAAGCGTGCAGCTGTGGCTTCAGCGCCGTGGTCAACCGGCGCTACGGCAACGGCTCGGGCCTCTTCCTGGAGGACGAACTGGACATCATCGGCCGAGGCTCAGACGTCAGCAGGGAGGCAGAGAAGCGCTTCGAGCAGCTGCGGCTCTCCTCGCTGGAAAGAACTGGAGTAGGGAGGGGTGACCGTGTCCCAGACGAGCTCATCCTCCTCCTGCAGGATCAATGCACCAACCCCTTTTCACCCATATCAGTCCTGGACGATGACATAGTGACGCGGGGGCCAAGCGGGGCCCCTGTGCCGCCCTGTGTGAGGGTGGAGGAGAGGGACTACCACAGCGACTGCTACATGGCCCTGGAGCACGGCAGGCAGTTCATGGACAACATGTCGGGAGGCAAGGTGGACGAGGCGCTGGTGAAGAGCACCTGCCTGCACCACTGGGCCAAACAAAACGGTGAGAAGCGCCAAGCGGAATCTAGAAACACATGCACAGCAACATTTTCCCTTTTTTTTTTTTTTGACACCAACTTATGTTTTCTTCAGCCACTGTAGCTCTTAAGGTTTTTATCATAGATTAATAAAAAGTTAAAAAATGTAGTCTGCAAATAACCATTAGTACAAATGATGACAGCACAACTATAAAAAAGATATACATATCAGGGTTCAATATATTCCCAACAATTATTGGAAAGATTGAGTTTAAATCATCCAGAGTCTAAATGACTAAACATGTTGAAAAGGAGAATATTAAACAGTAGTTAATTAATTCAGAAATACAGTAGTGTTGATATTTAAACCTTAAGACCCACCTCCGGGTCACACCTTAGATATTTGGATATTTTCACTTTATTAAAATATTCTTCAAACTGCATTCAATTACTAAACTACACTAAATGCACATTTGTAATCTAAAACATACATTTACTAAACTGAAGTTGTTGTGCTTTTTATGATGTCATTTTCAAGTATGTAATGCTTGTAAAAACCCCAAAAATTGGATTATATGAATAGTTAAGTGTTTTCACTAATGATTGGTTGAGAAACATAAATGCCCATTGTTCAATCAAGTTATACTCGAGTACCGTAATTTTCGGACTATAAGCCGCGCCTTTTTCCCTATTTTTCGACGCTGCGGCTTATATAACGGTGCGGCTAATCTATGGATTTTTACAGCTAACGGCCAACACCTTTAACTCTATGGGCTCTATGGCCGGTCCGCGGACCCCCACCTTTAAGCGGCGGGTTCCAGCAGGAAAAGCTGGAGGCCGGAAAAGAGTGAGACAGGTAGCGCGCAAAAGTAAAAGTGGAACCGAGAGTGGTATGCCGCTGCTGCGGCTTATATTCAGGTGCGCCTTATAGTCCGAAAATTACGGTACATGTTAATTACATAGACAGAATTTAGAGACATTTTATTTGCCAGCGTGAAGGAATTGGCGGCATCTAGCATCGTGCATACAGACTGAATGCCCCTCTGCTCACCCTCCCTTTTACAAGATTTTGGTAATAAGCCGCCAAGTACAAAACACTATACTTATAACTTCTTATAACTTTGCTCAAAGGAGACACAAAGTTTTACAAGTGTGTCGGAGAGCTATGGTGGCCTTTGGGTGACTTAAAAATGTGAAATGGTCCGTATTAGAGCCAGAGTTAACTATAACCTTAACTATAACCAAGTTAAGGAAGAAAAGATTTGTTAGAAGCACACTTATACATTTTTTGAATGTTTTGTTTTAGTGTGGTGTTGCTTATGTTGTGATTAATCTTAAGCTTCCCCTTTACTTCGTTCTCCAGCAGTGGACGTCAGTGCGCTGTGCTCTCAGGATGTGCTGCGGGTGCTCATGTCCCTGCAGCCCGTACTCCAGGACGCGATCCAGAAGAAGAGGACGATAAGGTCGTGGGGCGTTCAGGGTCCCCTCACCTGGCAGCAGTTCCACAAGATGGCTGGACGGGGCTCTTACGGTAAGGCTGTAGCCAAACTGGGGATGTTTGTCTTAAGTCCAGCTGTCAGTGAATCAATATTGTCCACCTCATGTTCAATTGAGGTTTCAGATTTTCTGGCAGGCATAAGACTCATAGAGAAACTGTGTTTGACTGTGTGACATTTGAGTGTGTGTCTTGGGGAAGAAAAGCTGTGGATGTTGTCAGGTCAGTAGGCAGGGTGGTCCCTCTGCTATGGTCCAGATGTCTGCTCTGCTGGGACAAGCTGTCAGATGTTTTTTTGCAACATCACATTCTGGTGCACAGAGGAGGAGGTGGGGGGGGGGCCTGACACCTTGCCTGTAAACAGCACTTCCTCACTGATCTTTCTCTCTGATCTTTCTCTCTGCCCCTTTCCACACTTGGTTTCCCTTTCTTCCTCCACCTCACAGGCACAGACGAGTCCCCGGAGCCCCTGCCCATCCCCACTTTCCTGGTGGGGTATGAGTACGACTTTGTGGTGCTGTCTCCCTTCGGTCTGCCCTACTGGGAGAAGCTGTTGTTGGATCCCTTTGGCTCGCAGCGGGACGTTGGGTACCTGGTGGTCTGTCCTGACAACGAGGCCTTGCTCAGCGGCGCCAAGAGCTTCTTCAGGGACCTCACTGCTGTCTACGAGGTATGGTCTCTTGAGGAAGGGTGGACATGTTTTACTGTTAAGGCTTTCCAAGTGTTATGTTGCTTCAATTTTTACGAACTGCCGATTTGGCAGTTAATTGTACACATAGAATTATTATCTAATGTAATCCGTGATCACTTTCTATTGAAAACATATGCAACATTTCACTGCTAGACCTTAAATCAAGCTAATGGTTTGTGATAAAAAGAAGAACATATCTTGTTTATATACATTCAAGTGTTCGCCTCTCGGTGTTTAGTATTTATTACAACGGTTTGTTTTTATTTATTTGTGCTGCTTTTCCATTTGCCATGTAAATGTATCCCTATAGGTTTATCTACAAGTGCAACCAGTATTTTTGTATGTATCTTACAGAATATGCAGTTTAGCATTTGGGGATTACATTTTTATAAAATTATAGAACCTAATGTTAGCGTTTTGGGGTAATTTTTTATTCTTTGAATTGGTTTTGTTTTCTATATCTTTATATAAATGTGTAATTGTCAATGAGTAAATTGATGTTGGATATTTCCTGCTTCTCTGTTGCACGTGGTGAATGTGAATTGGCGGTCTTGCAGCCAGTCCCTATTTAAGACTGCTTTTTATTACCACACACCATTAGCCTGTTGAAGGTTTAGCAGTAAAAAAATTACACATAGTATATTTTTGCAGGTTGAAGAGCATGCAGGAGTTTATTTGCAACTTCCATCCACTTGCTACTCTCCCTGGACCTGTTTCATCTAATATCTGTTGTCTTTTGGAATTGTAAACATGCACTTAAACAAATGAAAAAGTACTGTTATCTATTTACAGCCTCTTTTCATCAGTTATTGTCAAATACATGTATGTTTATGTACCAGTTCAAACACTCATGGTCCATCCTGTCTATTTTCTACAGTCATGTCGGCTGGGCCAGCACCGGCCCATTTCCAAAGGCTACCCCGATGGCATCGTCCTTGTTGGCGGCAGCGGAGCCAAGAACCTTGTGGATCAGCCGGTCAGCGATTGGTTCCTCAAGGCTGCCAGCAGCAACAGCGACGCCTTCACTAAGCTCAAACTCTATGCACAAGTGTGCCGACACAACCTCGGTACGTGTCTTTTCTAGCCTGCTGGGTTCCTGCTGCATCTTCTGTTGCGGAGTGCTCATTTCACACAGTTCTTTGTGCTGAATTTCCACCTCCGACACCACTTAGTTTAGTTATAAAAAGTCTAGCTACAGAGCCTTGACTGTTTAAAAGAGAGCTTGATATCTGTGTAGGAGGAGTTCAAATGGAGTCTTTTCATTTTTCAGAGTGTGATTGATGTTATTAATGCCGTGCTTTCTCCCTTTAGCTCCATACCTCGCCTCACAGCCATTGGACAGTTCCCTCCTCACACAGTCCAGCCCCCCGCCCTCGTCCAACCAGTCGTCATCCACACAACAGTCCAGCTCCACATCAGGCTCAGTGGGCCAGCAGTGCTCCGTGAACTCTGCAGGCTCCTCAGTTCCCAATAACAACAACAGCACTAACAACAGTGGGTCTGGAAACGGCCCCGCGTCCTCCAACAGTCTGGTCACATCCTCAGGCCAGCCGCCTGCCAAGCCCAGCTCTTTCCCCCCCTTTGGGAACATGGGCCCCCAGGGCCAGGGGGGGGAACAGCTGGGACAGCAGGCTGGTACCCAGAATACTGGCACCTCAGGGGACAACTCCAGCAGCCAGGCCCCGGGGCCAACGGAGCCTCTTGAAAGGTACCGCAGCGCAAACAAACCTTCACGCCACTGAAACATTTAAATAAAATGAAATGAAAGTGTCGTTGGTCACAACAAGTATTGATCATTTATTACTATATCTTAGTATTTCAATTTTGTGAAATCATTGTAAAGCACTTAGCTGATAATGATTTATGAAATGATAGCATACAATTATAATCCAAAATAAATATGTTTACTGCAAAGTTGCAGAAGAGTTGGGTTAGGCAAAGAGTTCGCTTAGCAACACTCAAAGGGATTTTCTTAAGTGTGGTTGTATGAAGTGTGCATTATAGCCACCTTAAATAAATCAATATCATTTAAGTGTGTGTTGCATTAATAATACTTTCACAGCCCTTTCCAACATTCTATTTAAGTACCAGTTTAAGAGCACATGTTTGATCATTGCCATTTGAATACATTTTGAATTACTGATTAATGAGTTATATTTATAAATGTGAGATATATTTTTTAGTAGTCATGATGACTGTGACTCAGCCATTCAGAAGCTGAAGGCAATAATAAGTGAATCAAGAGAAGGATTGGTTTATTAATACTGCGTGTGTGTGTGATCCTCCTGTGCTCTCCACAGCACTTTGGAACGAGAGAAAATAGGCGTTCCCACGGACGGGGAGTCCCATGCCATCACGTATCCACCTGCCATCGTTGTTTACATTGTGGACCCCTTCAGCTACGAGGAGACAGACGGGGGCCCAGGACCGGTGCCTTCCCACTCCAGTGTGTGGACGCTGGGTTTACTACGCTGCTACCTTGAGATGCTTCAGTTCCTGCCCCCACACATCCGCAATTCTATTTCAGTACAGGTAAAGCTCCCTGGAGAGCCACAGTGTTATTGCTGACCACATTGTATTTGATTATCATGAAGAGGGAAGTACATTAATTGTCAGTGTGTCAAGTACTCCTTAATTATTAATAGCTGATTTTCAATGGCACAATTACTGACATTATCATATGTGTACTTACGGTGTAAGTTGAGTGACCAGAAAATACAAACGCCTTAACAATATCATGCAATACAATAGTAATAAATACTTACTAAAAAGGCTTATAATTTGAAGTCTACTTTGATTTTATCCCACAATTTTCGAGCGGAGCACATATTGGTTCCTGCTTTTTTCTTTAAATGAATACTTAAAAAAGAAAAACTCAGAATTTGTTTTTTTCATCATTACACCTAACCTGAAATCTCTGACTGTTTTCTGCTTCTTTAAGAAGTATAGTTTGCATTTGTATTAGCAGAGAGATTATATAGAGTAAGTGTTGTTTCTAACAGCCTCTTTTCTCCCCTCAGATTGTCCCCTGCCAGTACCTGCTTCAGCCAGTTCGAGGAGAGGATCGTCACATCTACGCCCAGCACCTCAAGTCTCTCGCCTTCTCCGTCTTCGCTCAGTGCAGACGGCCACTGCCCATCTCCACCAACGTCAAGTCACTGACGGGCTTTGGCCCAGGCCTGGCTATCGACACTGCACTGAAGAGCCCAGAGGTAAATGCTGCAGTCAAGTTTTAACAATGGCACTCAAATATGTTGAACAGAGAAAGATTTTAGCTCTTTTTCTAATCAGAATCCGCTGTGTGTTGATATGCTAGCATTCTCCTCTGATCGATACGGAGGCAAACAGAGGGTGACACTTTGCCCCAACTGCAGTAATTCAGTTGCTTCCAGCTCTCCCTCAAAAAATAAACTTCACCTCATGTGACCCAGCCTTTTGACCCCCACTGTTTCAGTTTGCCACAGAAAAAAAAAAGAGTCTACGAGATATAGAGTTTTTAGTGCTAACCATCCTGCTAGTTTTTTCTTCTGGAGCAAGACCAAGGGAACTTGTAACCCTCTGCTACTTCTGAGTTTTCTTTACATTTTCTGCTTGGCTATCTCCGGAGAACTCCGTAATTGGATCTCGACTCCCGGTTTAGACAAAGGGGAACCTTAGATCAGGAACTGCTTCGATGGACATCCTCTCTTATAGCCAGCACCACCTCTTACCTGTTATGCTCTATCAGTCCTTGAGCCGGCTCTCTGGGAGCACTGAGTTATGGATTGGACAACTTGAGTGACATGTGGGGCATTTTTGCTTACAGTAACAAAGCCGACTAGGATATGAATTCAATAGAAATTGTAATTAAAAGACAGTATATGCTGCTGTGAAAGCCAAGCATGCACGCACAAAATGTACAACCAGTTTGTCCTGTATGGGCTTAATTTATCCTAACTCCTTTATCCTGACATCTTCACTTCCCAATCTGCAGAGGCCGGAGTTTCTGCGACTCTATACACCTCCGTTCATTCTAGCACCAACAAAGGACAAGCAGACGGAGCTCGGGGAGACATTTGGGGAGGCATCGCAGAAATACAACGTGCTGTTTGTGGGATACTGTCTGTCCCACGACCAACGCTGGCTCCTGGCTACATGCACTGACCTGTATGGGGAACTCCTAGAAACCTGCATCATCAACATCGATGTTCCCAACAGGTAGGACAACAAGCATCTGCAGGGTACTAAAATAATTGGATTAACATCAACAGAAATCAATTAAAGCCACTAAATTCACTCATTGAACTTACTTAACTCAAAACAATACAAAAACACAACAATAAAGATACGTAGCATGGTCAAAAAGGGTGGATAAACGATTAATCTATTTGTTGTGGAATACCATTAGGAGAATGCTATGGTAAAAAGATAGGTGTCTAAATGTTGTTTAAAGGTATTTACAAATTGTATAGCTCTTCAGGCTTAACTGAATATCTGTTCTGTTGCTGTTTTTTTTTTTTTTGACTGTTTTCAGCGATTAGGTTTGGCTATGTGCAGTGCTTAACAAGCACAAGAATATGGTATTAAATCTGCTAATATTTAAGAAAAATAAAGAAGAGTGCTAACATTATTGAACACAACTCCAGCAGTTGTAAAAATGAATGGTGATACTCAACCAAACAGTTAAATCTCGCTGCCAAACTACATTGCGTAGCGGCATAATCATTGCTTCTTGTCAGTAAATTATTAAATGGTTTGTTTTTGTGTTTAATTTATGAAACACTACCAGCTACAGTTTATTTAGAACCCATTCCTGTCTAACAATGTCCTTAAGCTTTTTTTAAATCTCTGTAAACCACGGCCCCTCGACTTATCGCATTAATTACTTTCGTGTAACAAACATGTCAGCTGACAGAAAGCGGTGTTTTTATTTGGAGTGCAGTAATTTATTTAACAAATGTAGTCCATCACACTTGTCTGAACACTGTAGCACTCACACCAGTGTTGCACATGTACACCTGACTGGTGCACTTGTCTCTGTGAATATCTCACATCCAGTCACAGCTGCATAACAGATGTATGTGACCTTACAAAAGGTGCACGACAGCTGTTACCCACATTTGAAATGTGTCTGCTTGAAATCAAAACCGTGATTTATTTATTTTTTTGCATCAATTTATACAGTAGCATGCTAGCTGTCAAATTACACTTTTCACTTGAGTGTAAATCAGCCTTGAGAGAAATGGCACACAGCTGTCAGCACAATGTTAAAGCAGCTCTATAGATTCACAGCCAAACTCTACATATTACATTACATTAGCTGACATTGGCTGACGGCCCTCAGATTAAACGTAATTAATTAAATTAAATTAAAAATATATATTTTTATTTTTTTTACTTGTAGTACTGATACCGTCCACTAGACTCCTAGCTACATCGCGAGCTGCGTACATGATTTCAAATACCGCAAAATAATCTGACGCATTATGCGTCAGATTATTTTGCGGTATTTGAAATCATGTACGCAGCTCGCGATGTAGCTAGGAGTCTAGTGGACGGTATCAGTACTACAAGTAAAAAAAATANACACACACAGAAATTCCATGTGTTGTATCAACTTGTATGTAATTATTAACAAATATACTAAGTCTTACATCTTCATTGACATTTTACAATCAAAGGGAACATCCCCAAAAAATGGGAACATCCTCTAATAAGCTCACTAAACAAATATCAGTTCCCAGAAATGTTATTTCGTTTTTACTAGTGGCATGTTTGTATTGAACAGGTTATTAAACAGTGGAATAAAACTATTTTAAACCAGTGGGAAGCACTGAAAATGTGTGTGTATTGAGATTCACCATTAAGATGACATACACATGAAGTCATGAACACTAACCCCGATATTAGTTGTCTAACTTGAACCTAAAACACTTGTAGCCAGTCTCTGCATTCCCCTTATTCCACAATAAGGGGAATGTGAACANTGTTAATAATTACATACAAGTTGATACAACACATGGAATTTTTGTGTGTGTTTGTTCCAAGTGAATCTGCGGCCCCCTGGTGGCCAGTACATCAATGATGTGGCCCCCACCACCATCAAAGTTGCCCATCTCTGTTGTAAAGTGTGTATCTGCAGCAGCGGGTTGTAGCAGCGATGTTTGCAGTGAAGGACAGTTTGTTATCTAGGATCACACCCAGATTCCTTGCAGTCTGAGTCGGGGAAACAACAGAGGTGCCGATGTTGATTGTTAGGTCAAGAGTGGGACAATCTTTTCCCGGAAGGAAAAGCAGTTCAGTCTTGTCAAGGTTGAGCTTGAGGTGGTGAGCAGACATCCACTAAGAGATGCATATAAATGTATTTATCTCAAAAAGAGAAGAGATGATTCCAATTGTAGCTATTCCATCTGCAACCATTGGCAGGTACACACATAGTATTCAAATAACAGCTTAGCTTTACAAAATGACTATTACACTAGTTAATGTTGAAAAGACTATTTGCTCAATAACCATTTCTTTGCACCATGTTTTAAGCTTAGCTGGAAGCATATTCCAATGCTTGAGGGCCCTATATGAAAAATCTGATTATGCAAAGGCAGTGCACCTCAGTGCGATGTTTGATTTCGATACATCGTAAGGTTCTACCTATTTGCTCGATTATCTTGAAAATCAATCAAACTTCCGAAAAGAGTTTTTTTGGACAATGATTTAGATTGAATGATTTCCTATCAACAAACCAAGCATAAATTTTTTTTGTGATTACTGAAAAGTGGTTGTGACATGTGAATCAATGTGTGTTTCGCAGGGCGCGGAGGAAAAAAGGGTCTGTTCGGAGGCTGGGCCTGCAGAAGCTGTGGGATTGGTGCTTGGGACTGGTGCAGATGACATCAGTCCCCTGGAGGGTGGTGATTGGTCGACTGGGCAGGATAGGACACGGAGAGCTAAAAGGTAAGGAGGACTAGGTTAATATAAAATGCTTCAGAAGCAAAATATAATCCTGCTGAAATACTTTTATCATTCAAGTGTTTTTCGTACAAGATGTTCATTCCTCTCCTCTCTTCATTCTCCAGACTGGAGTATTCTGCTGAGCAGAAGGAACCTCCAGTCCCTGAGTCGCCGTCTGAAGGAAATGTGTCGAATGTGTGGCATCTCGGCCTCAGATACTCCCAGCATCCTCAGCGTTTGCTTAGTTGCCATGGAGCCCCAGGGATCATTTATCATCATGCCAGGTAAATTGTGTGCACATTGACAAAGATCATAAATACTCTTACTGTGTGTTTTAACGCACACTTCTCATCTGAGTCGCATTACTCCTCCAAGAGAGGCAGTGAGAGGTGTGTTCATGTCTGACTGTGAGTGCGGGGCGTGATGGATGGCCGCAGCATATCACAATGCGTGTCCCCTCCTTGTCCGGAGCCGATTGATGGCAGGGGAGATCATGTACCTTTTGTTCATAAAGCACTGTCTCTCAGATGCCCATTGATCTCAATGCGGTGTGATGGAGAGACAGATCGATGGGTTTATTTTGGGAAAGGAGTGGGGGGTTGTCAGTGCATCATACCAAGACTGTGTTGAGCGATGCTGAGCTGAGGACATCTTCTTTTATTTGTAAAAAGCTGAAATAGATTACTAAAACAGTGTTATCCTCAAATTGCAATTGTTTATCACAGTTAAATAGCTTAACATACATTTAAGAGAGTTTTTGGAACAAGGCTTAAAGGGTCCCTATTGTGCTTTTTGGGGTTTTGCCTTTCCTATATGTTATTTGGTTTTTGTTGATGTAAATGGCCTGCAAACACTAAATCCCGAAGAGAGTTTTTCTCTCCCAAACACTTTGATTTTAATATGAGTATGTTTCTACAAGGTGGGTAGACCGGCATACGCAACGCTCTGGGGGTCCAACGGCTCCGTGTGTAAGCCCTATATATGATCATTTTCTGATTACGATGAAATAGCCCGCCTCCCTCTCCCAACGTCTCCTGCTGCTGCTGGGCTGTCAGAAGAGGGGGAGGAAAAGAGAGGCAGGCACCGTTTATTAAACATTATTATACAGAGAACAGAGTCGTCATCAATTGGTTTTAAAGCTCAATAAATAACAAAGAAGACCTCTGATCCGCACTTTTCTAATTTTGTACGGAAGATTTAAACTTTAACGGACATGTTGACCGGCGGAATTTTTTTTAAAGGAAACTGCCGCACGGTTCCCTCGTCCCTTGGAAGAGGCGGAGAGGTGGGTGTTTTTCATCTGCTGGTGGACTACCTGAGAGATATACAGCAGGAGAACACGTCGTCCACCGCGGAGAATAAACAGAAGGGCAACCATGGCAACCATGCTCCGGAGTCTTCTTCGCTGCTTTTGGTGTATTTTGTGGCGGCAGCAGTGCCACTTACAGGCCTGGCATATGTACTACAGCGTTTCCAGCATTTCCAGCGGTCTAGTGTGAACGGACACATTAATGAATCAAATGCGTGTGAACGGAAGACTTTTTTGCGTTTGCGTATGCGTTTTACCGTATGGGGCCGGGGTCTAAGCCAAACTATATCCGGTCACAGAGATCTGCTATTTTAAAGTAAAGTCAACACATATCGACCCTAAATATAGTCTATATTAAGAACGAGAAAAGTCTTAACATATATATCGTTTTTTGTAAACATATGACAAATGTGTGAGGGTGATGACGTCAGAGCATCGTCCTATGTGCCAGGGCTTAGCCCCGGACAGCCCCAGCCCAATTTAATCCCTGGGTATTTGTGAGGGAGCTCCTATGGCATTACCCCGCTGAAGCTCACCAAAGTTTAATATAATTCATAGTTCAAAGTTTCGTTTATTGGTCAAATACTGGTTTCTAATGGTTTCTGAGGAGTTTTACTGGAATGAAAGAGCACAGAGTACAGCAACAAAGCAGCATACTGCATTAAACCTGACCTTCACAGAGAGGTTGAAGTTCATGTGGAAAGGAGGCTTCAGTAGTCTGTCTGCACTCTGTTTAGTTTTGCTATCTTACAATCAATATAGTAAATGTGAGGTAAAGTGTGTCGCCAATGTAACCGGTTAGAACTCAAAGTTGCGATGAGGTCTTAAAATGTATGGAAAGGGTCTTAAAAAAAGGTCTTAAAAGGTATTAAATTTGACCCCAGGATTTCTGCATATACCCTGTATTAATTAAAAAAGAACATAATTTAGAAGACTAAAGATCCTTCTGAGCTGCACTGTTAATTGATCCATTTCTCTCTCCTTCATCTGTGCCTCCCATCAGATTCGGTGTCGACGGGCTCAGTGTTTGGCCGCAGCACCACCTTAAACATGCAGACGTCCCAGCTGAGCACCCCCCAGGACACATCTTGCACCCACATCCTCGTCTTCCCCACATCCGCCTTCGTCCAAGTGGCCAGCTCCAATTACACCAACATCGACCCCAACATTGACATCCTAAACGCCAACCCTGGTCAGTCAGCTCCTTCATCTATCCTGTGCTACTTCCCTAGGATTCTCTTGTGTTTTAACACAGTGTGGCTCATCTATTTGCTGGAAATTAAACATTTTTTAATTCCTGTGTTTTCCCTTTTAAAATGCACTGTTTGCTTACTAATCCTTACTGTTTACTTTTCCAGTCTCTTAAGAGTCTATTCTATAGTAGTGTGTGGCTTCATAATTAATGCATATGAAATACCCTCAAGCATCTTCAGCTTGTTTCCTTTATGCAAATATATGTATTGAAAGAAGTCTGAAGAGCGGTCCCCTACATTCCTTAATCGGTCACATCGGTCAAATCAAATAATATGGATGTTGGCTGTGTATTGCATAATGATTGTATAATTATATTGTTTATTGCCACAGAAAGAAATACATGTTATTTTAGCTCAAAACATTATGATAAGAACTGAGGACTATTTGGATGCTTTTCCAAGACTAAGAGGGTATAAGTAAAAAAATAAATAAAAGGTTATCACCCGCAGACCTGTTGAATAATTATCCCGATTTCCGCAGATGGGCCTGATGCTATCGGGATCTTTGACCTGCTGGATCAGGAGAATGAGTTTGTGGACCCGGACATCATCAACATCTCGCCCAACACATCACCAGTTCACTCCCCCGGCTCTCATTACCATCACGGGGGAGATGGCAGTAAGGTAAATCAATTTGTACATGTACACAGACCATAGTGTGTACCATATACTTATACCTTGCACTATTGAAAGAAGCTTCGGTTTTATGTCCCATGTCATGACACATTGAAACAAAGCTAACCTTGAGTTTGTATCTTGCTGCAGGGCCAGAGTACAGACCGTATGGAGTCTCATGAAGAAGTTCCTAACCTTCTGCAGCAGCCCCTGGCACTTGGCTACTTTGTCTCCACGGCTAAAGTCGGTCCCCTACCTGACTGGTTCTGGTCAGCCTGTCCGCAAGCCCAGAACCAGTGTCCACTCTTCCTCAAGGTACCCGCTGCTTCTCCTCTCACTGATGTTTTTAATGATAGGTTGTTCTTAGCTCTACCTTTTAACACAAGTGATATTTGTGAGGAACTAGTGAAACTAATCACTGTTTAGGGCACTTTGACAAGCATTTAGTATGTTTTTTATAAAGCTCCAATGTAGTTAAAGCCCCGGTGCATTTTGTTAGGGCAGTGGAAAACATAGTAATTGTACTCTGGGCGGAATAAGATAACTTGCAAGAGGTGGTCTCGATCCATAGTGTGGTTTTATTGCAGTGAGTCAATTATCAGACTTGAACCAAAATGCAAAGATTAGGAGCTTTTGAAGAGGACTGAGTTCTGGTCCGGTGTTTGCTTGATCTTGGGGCCGAAGACCACAGAATATGTCCACAACAAATGTGACACTTGAAAAGTCATTACAGTAGCAAGTTCAACTCTAGCCCTGACCTTTTTGTACGCACCATTCAGCAAAATAATTGAATCAGTTATTTAATCAAAGATGTATTTGGTCTGCTCACATATGTGCTGTGGGAAAACAAACCAGTCTAAATAGAATACATACCAATATGATACATTTTACTGTGATTGAGACTAACTAATGTACTATGACTGGTTAAAGTGTCCTTAGTGGAACATTTAAAGAAGCTTACGGGTCCTTAGTGGACCAATAAATACTGCAGAGATATCAATTACTTTTCCTAGGTATAGCTCAAAATGTGCTTTTCTGATTAAAGTAAGATCAGAAGATTGATACCTCTCATATCTCTCCATTGAATATAAAGCTATCGCTGCCATATGATTAGCTTAGCATAAAGACTGTGGAAAACAGTTAGCCTGGCTATATCCAAATTAAATACAATCCGCCTATCAGCACTTCTAAAAGCGAACTTATCAATGAGTTACATCGTGTTTGTTTAATCAGTGTGAATACAGAAAAATAATGCTATGAGGTCCTTTATAAACCCAGTGGTAACCCAACACCTCTGCATAAACTCTCATTTTGATTTGCACTGATCACCCTTGGCTCTGAAATGAGCTCCAGCCTCATTGCTCTGTGAAAAGGGGTCTAATTATTTAGATGAGATGTAATAAAAAAGGTTAATAACTTCATTATAACGCCATTGACACCACCTCTCTCTCTGTGCTCCCTCTCTCAGGCCTCTTTGCACCTCCATGTGTCTTCAGTGCAATCAGATGAACTACTGCACAGCAAACACTCCCACCCCCTCGACTCCAATCAGACCTCAGATGTACTCAGGTAAACAACACACTCCGCTAATGTCAAGTTAGCACCTGCTGACTGTGCTTTCAAGGGGATTCTAGACAGACTAAAATAGTATTTTTTGATACAAATCATGACGATGTACAAGAGCTAAACATGTTTGAAACAGCTAAACAGCTAAATGCTGGATGTGCACTTTCTTTATTATAGCCTAGGATGGATGATTTGGAACAATAAACACTTTTGTTCTATATATATGATTTTTTTTTAAACCCTGTGTGTCATCCCATTACATCTCCAAATGAAATACTAACTTCCATCTGTGTGTCTGAACAGATTTGTGCTGGAGCAGTACAACGCCCTCTCCTGGCTGACGTGTGACCCGGCCACGCAGGACCGACGATCATGTCTACCCATTAACTTTGTGGTGCTCAACCAGATGTACAACTTCATCATGAACATGTTGTAGCCAACAGCCTGTTACAGGGAGGGAAATAGATAATAGAAACATTTCAAAGAAGAAGACTTCAAGACTGAAGAAAGAACCAGAGCAGCGTACGGAGCTGGATCCTACCCCAAGATGTCAGCTGTTCCTGCTGAAAATGTCCTGTCCCTGTGAATCAAAGACATGCACACACAGACAAGGGAATAAAGAAGCAAGAGTCGCAATTATTGAACGTGAAAGAATGACAGATGGTTGTCATGGTATGTAGCATGGCAGCACAGTCACTGGCCAGTCTGTATTTGAAGAGACAAGTCTATCTGTAAAGTTATTGGAAGAAAAGGGACATATTTGATCAAGGAAAAAACTCATGAATGGATCTTTTTTTTAAGATCTGAAATTCCTTTGTATTCCTTTTGGGTGAAATAGTATCCAAATGAAATGCTTGCATCTATCTTATTTATTGTACGTTTTTAAATGTATAATTTGTCTTATTTCCTAACCTCTTTTATATATAAAAAATGGAGAAGGTTTATATCACCTTCCTGCTTTAAAGCGATTGGTCTAAGATATATGTAATCGTCTTAATTAAAAAAACAACCAGGACAAAAATCTCATGAAAATGAAATAAAGTCCCAGTAGGTCGCTTTTAGAGTATTATTTTTTGTAATGAAGACAGAATATTTGTATTGCCACAATGTACAGATGAATTAAGAGTGGAGAATTATGTTTCATGCCTTTAAGCATGAAGGACTTACAGCAAAGCTGTAGCTACAGAGGACTTGTACAGCAATGAACTTCACTGTGTTCAAATAAAGAGGTACATTGTTGTATATAGTATTTTATACCACACATTTAGACACAAAACCAAACGGCAATATATATATAAATAATTATATATGAATGCCATGCCAGCAGTTGGTGGTGTGGCTTCTGTTTTAGGAATAAAGTGCGTCAACTTATTTACCTGTGCTTGTGATTATTGCTTTGGGGAGGGGGACTGTGGACACCAATTGTGGAGCGGAAGGAGAAGTATTGGTACCAATTGGTACCTCTTGGATGTAGCTGACCTCAGGTTTGACTTTTTATAGGAAGGAAAATGAGAGCACATGGCAGAAGGGCAGTGTCCTCTCCAGTGTTATAGATACATTTAGACCAGTCCCATTTTACTTAATTGTGAAAGTAAATGTGTGATGTAAATGAACTGTAACCGGATATGGATGGCTGCCAAGTGGATATGCACTGTTTGTGCACAGAGGAACGTCTGTTGAGAGGAAAACTACTTTGCTTTTGCCGTTAACTATGCAAATGTACCAATGTGTGCTTGTTTAATTATATGGCCTTCAATATGTGGTCTTTCGTTGCGTGTATAAATACATTCATTATTTCCTAAAACCCTAAGAAAAATATTTTTAGTACAGTGCCATGTTTTGATTTTGGGAAATCGTGGTTAGATGCAGAGTCGCCTGGCCATATGCTTCTACTAAACTGTCTGTAGGCTACTATAAAGTAGATCTTACACGTTACAGCACTAGTGGAAAAGCCACTGGGATTACCCTGCATAATAAATTGAGTCAAAACTCCTACTTGTAAATTGCTGAATTTCCCTGAGGTGTTGCAGTAGCAGCTGGCAATTCATTTTTTTTCTGCATTTTTCCTGTCTGTCATCAGCCTTTGGATACACAGAGGTCCTGCTCCGTTTTCCTGTAGTCTATCCCTCAGCAACTGCTGTCAATGTGCCTTTGGAAATGTAGTGGAAGTTACACTGAATGTCAGTGACTGGGTAGGTAATAGTCTACATAATTCTAAAATGTTACATATCGTTACTTGGGATGTTTGTTTTGCCTCTAAAACCAAGTATTCCATGTTATAATCAATCTTAATATGGTGTAATTTATAACTTCTTTTTAGAAAGCAACACATTCATAATGATGTGTGTTTATTGTATATCTTAACATATCAATGTCTGCAACTTTATCATATGGATATCAAGCAAATCTGCCACCAGAACTTGGGGGAATAGATTGATAAATGTTGTTATATTGATACTATTGTGTGAGGTCTACACACAAAGTATGACTATAAGGAGATTGTTGCCTGATCCAAGAAGCCGAACAACTCAACAACTGCTTTGTTCTGCAAATTAAATATTGGAAATAAGATAAACTCCATAATCATTCATGGTGTCAATATTGCCCAGCACATGTTGATCTGCGGTAAAGACCCGAGTGTGGTCCTGCCTCCGCTCTCTGTCAGTGATACGGGCAGTTAGCTCTGCTCTACGGGGCTGAAAACACCGGCTATCTCACTGACATAGAGATCGCTGTAGATAGAGATAATTTCCAAGTGGATATGTGGAAACAATAACAGACAGAGCGTTAAAAATACAAATACTAAGACGTTTCAACAAACCTACCGGAACAGCTAAGACGAGCTTCTTTCTCTGACACTGGCTGTGGACTCCCCCCATAGCTTTTAAGGCTGACGGTACACAACAGAGTCCGAGGTCTGAAGGCCTACATGGTGACATTTCTTGTTTAAAGACTAATTTTCATCTTAATAGAAGAGGTAAGATGGTTGTGTCTGTCTGTTGTATTTTAATTGAATGTTTAAAATGTAGAGAGGGACCAGTCGGCACACGCGAGCCTGACATGTTAGCCTAGCTGTTAGCAGGCTAGTAGCATGCTAAGAGTCGCTCAATGGGATAGTGAATGAGTCTTAGCTACTGCCAGTTAGCTACTGCTAGTTAGCATAATAATTGAAGTTGGCTGTATTTTACTATATTACTTGTGCTGTAAATATTTATATTGAACATGTACAAGTGCTACACATGAATCAGAATAATGTCTTGTATTGGCGCAAGCAAATTCCACTTCAGTTAAAGTTAACGATATGTAACCTTCCAAGTATAAGCTAGCATGAGCACCATCAACATTGCGGTAAGTCATCTGTGATAGCCAGCATACTTTGTTAGCAAAGTTATACTGATATTACAATTGGCAGCAACATTCAGTAGGGAGCTTCTTTGGTGTGCGTATCAATATATTCTTACTCTGTTATCAAGTACTGGAACGACTTTTTAATCATTTTTGATCGACTACACATGAATTATAATTGTAATATTTACTAACATAGCTTATCGAGAAATAAATGCATTGGTACTTTTGACAATGTAACTTTACCCAGCCTCTTCTGCCAGCTGTAAGCTACCCTGAATGTCTGGTTTTATATAGTTTTAGGTGTTAAAAGTCAAAATGCCCAGACTAGAAGACTGTCCGCTGTATTTGCTTTCAGGTGACATCTTAATTTGCTCTAAATTGTCTGTTTGTAATTTCCTTCAAGGCTACATTGCATAGAGATGGCAGACAGTGCAGGGCTGCAGTTTGTCAGCTCCTATGCTTTTGAAGCCATGCAGAAGGTGGATGTGTCTCGGCTGGCTGCCCTCAGTGACCCTGAGCTGAGGCTGCTGCTGCCCTGCCTGGTGAGGATGGCTCTGTGTGCTCCAGCTGATCAGAGCCAGTCCTGGGCACAGGACAAGAAGCTTATCCTCCGCCTGCTCTCTGGAGTGGAAGCTGTCAACTCCATAGTAGCACTTCTGTCTGTTGACTTTCATGCCTTGGAGCAGGATGCACGAAAGGAGCAGCAACTTAGGTATATCTAATTTACATGTGGTGATTATTGCTAAAGTCTGGTTGTTTTTTAGATTAACTGCATCTGTGTCTTCATACAACTCAATACAACTGATCACTGTTATCCATATACATTTTTTAGCAGTTTACATAATGTGCTGTCTTTTCTTCCAGGCATAAAGCAGGTGGCTCTAATGGAGAGAGCATCCTGGTGTCACAGCTACAGCATGGCCTGACCCTGGAGTTTGAACACAGTGATCCCCTCAGGAGACTCCGTCTGACCCTCAGTGAGCTGTTGGCGATCATGAATAAGGTAATAAGGTCCGCACATGACTCAGTGAAAACATGAACAACATAAAGTTAGCTTGAATGATAAATAAGATGATAAAAACAGTTTATTTGCTGATAAAATCATTACATAAATAATAAAAAAGTATGAATTGCAATCAAATCAAAAGATTAGATAATTAATACTTGCATCTTCATCGAATAAGATTACACAAATTATTCATCCACACTGACTGTTTTCTGTCCCCTTGTTGTTTTTCAGGTGGTAGACTCGAATGGAGAGTTTTTCTTAAAGTCGTCTGAACTCTTTGAAAGCCCTGTTTACTTGGACGAAGTAGCTGATGTCCTCTGCATTTTACAAGCAGGTAACAAACTTATTTTCATCTTCTTACTAGTTTTATCTTCATTTTTTGTGGAACTTTTATGTTGCTAAATACAATGACGTTTGTAAATATATACTGTACAAACATATTTGGAAAAACAACCTAATATTTTGTTAAACCAGCCTGAAAAGACCTCGTCTGATTGATTGTGTGTGTATTTGACACATCTTTGTCTGTTTTAATATTTTTTTCCCTAGAACTGCCTTCCTTGCTCCCCATTGTGGATGTGGCTGAGGCTTTGCTTCATGTCCGCAATGGAGACTGGTTTCTGTGTCTGTTGGTTGCCAATGTCCCCGACAGCTTCAATGAAGGTAATGCATCTGTCTCACATTATTGTGTCAGTTGAAAAGTGTGAAATAGAGTGGCTGTTTAATTGACAGCACCATTTTCATATGGTTAGGTAGTGTGCCTGCTGTGGCAGAATTATGGCTTTACTTACAATTACATTAGAAGCTTCATTATAAATATATGCAGATTGCTATTTAGTTGACATCACATTGTTTCTTTCTGGGTTTAGCCTTTTATCCTGTATTTCTAGCCAGGCCCCAGGCTGTGTGTGTGTTTGTGTTCAAATGATAATAAACATTATTGTCTGCTTTGGCTCACAGTGTGCTTTGAGAGACACATTATAATAAAACACCCGCCAACTCAAGTGCCTTATCACACAGAGAGTCAGGCTTAATTCCATAGCTTTTTGTGTGTGTTACAAAGCGGTCACATGAATCTTTTTGGCTTTGTTTCATCAAGGCCTGTCAGGTAGACAGCTGGTAACCACACCTTACTACGCTAGCTCCTTTTATAGCATATGAAATAATCCACAAGTGGAAGAAATGGAAACTAACTAGTCTCTGCCATCCATAAGCCGTTTGTCTTAAACTGTCATCTGTGGACAAGTGCTAATAACTAGTGAGAGGTCTTATGATGGCTGTTAAATCTTATTTACAGGCAAATAAACAAGTCATGATTTTAAAGTTTAGGGTAATTATGGAGGAACGTGACTTGGCAATGACATTAAAACATATTCTATTTCAAGGATGTTCTGAGCTGCTTGTTAATTGAAATGTGCATGTCTGCCTTTGCAGTTTGTCGAGGTTTGATCAAGAATGGAGAGCGTCAGGATGAGGAGAGTGTGGGTGGTCGGCGCAGGACTGAAGCCCTAAGGCAGCTCTGTCAGATGAACCCCTCGCAGGCCCTCAACATCAGAGCCATGGTGGTCAGTAACGCTATTAATATAATCACTGGGCTCCCTACCTCCTGAATCCTAATCCATTGCCTCCTAGAGTTTATCTTTTTCAAAAAGTAATACTTCTTAGAACAATTATTTTTTGTTGTGTTTGTGTGCTTTCATGTCAAAATGTAATTCTTACCAGATGTTTGTTTTTATAATTTTTCAATTAATTGCAGAAACCTGGATACATACAAAAAACAGCAGGCAGTCAAAATAAGACATATATATACATAAGATCCAATTTGTTAATCAAATAACAAAAACAAAAAAATATATTTAATTGCTGATTATAATAGAAGACATAAACAATTATCATTGAGTTGTACTGC